CGCGCGGCGCCCGCCCTCCTCCGGTCCTTGGGCAGGGCTTGCCCCGGGCGCTTGCGGGGCGCTGCGCAGGCCGCGCTTCCGAGCCCGTTTGCCCGGCAGGGGTCCGTTCGGGGCGCGTATCGGAACCGGCCCAGCGACAAGCGCTGCCCGGGGCCGAGGAACGCTGGCCGCTCTTGCGCGCTGGAGCTCCGGGCTCGGAGCCTCCTTGCCAGGCGGCCAAGCCCGGCGCCTCCTCGGGGCGTCCGGGGGCGCGTGTCGGGGGCTGCCCTGCGGGGTTTGCCTGGCAGCTGACCTGGAGGGGCCCGGCCAGCCCGTCTGCCTGAGCCGCTCCGGCCGGATCTTTGCGGACACGCGCCCTTGGCCCTCCGGCTCGCCGTTCGGGGGTTGGCAGCCCCCCCCCCCCCCGCCCCCCCCCGGCCCCCTCCCCCCCCCCCCCCCCCCGCCACCTGTCACCCGCCTGGCCAGCGCAGACCCAGTTCTTGGATTGGCAGCCTTTGCAGGTGGCCGCCTGGGCCGGGTGTCCAGGCCGGGTTTCCCAGCTGTGCAGCACCTTCCTCCCCCCCTGCAGAGCGCCAAGTGCTGCCCCTGCGCTCCCTCATTTCTGTGCTCAGACCTTTGGGCCAAGAGGGCATGCAGGTTCCCTGCACTGGCCCAAGAAACCAGTTTGCCCCAAAGCAACAGCGGGCTGAAAGCGTGCCTCTGCCAATAAGGGCCCCCCGGCAGCCCCCTCCCAGGGCACTCCAGGGCGGCTCCTCTTACAGTCCTTTTTAAATGTTGCAGTAAGCAGGCTTTCTGCCCTGTCGCCAACAAAGGTGTTAACATAAAGTAATCAAACCCTCACAAACTGCCAGTTTGTTTCTAGGCTCAGCTGATGCTCTAACTAAATCTCCCACTGGATTGTGCAGGTGAAATTTGGGGGAGAGGCCATGGGGCAGCCCCACAGGCTGCTACACCCCCCATCAGGCTGGTTCAGCTAGGGCCCCTTACTGCCTCCACACAGTTCAGAGAACAGCAAGCTGCTGCCAGGCGCCCGTGTGTGCGAGGCTGGGAAGGATGGTGGGTGTGAGTTTCTGTGGAAAGCTTTTTGTGTTTCAGTGAGTGGACCGGCGTGAGATGTACCCCTTTGGCACTGCTTTGCGGACGTTTAAGGCAGTGCTGTGGTTGAGCAGCTGCTCTGGAGGCTGCGGCCTTGTATGGATCGGACCTCCTTGGGGGAACCGGGGCTGAGCGTGCTCTCAAGGGTTGGGGTCTGAAACACTGGCCTGGCCATTTTGCTTGAGGTGGCAAGTGGGCGTTAGTCTGTTGAGCAGCGCGTCTCCTGCGGAGTCAGAAAGTCCGTCCGCCCATCTCTGCATTGTCTGGCAAGAGCAGGTCCTCCTGGGCTTCCAGTGGGGCCTTCTCCATAGCCTGACTGTGGCGCTCTGCCACGGAGCCGCGCCCTTGCTGTGACACTGGCTCAGCGCTGAGTCACCAGCTTCGCTTTGCTGCTGCGGCCGGGGGCTGTGGGCAAGAGGGGGGAGCTTTGCAGGGCCCCCGCGTCGGCCGAGGCCCCGCTTACACTGCTGTGTTGCCCGCAGTCTGGCCAACATCCCGCTCACCCCAGAGACGCAGAGGGACCAGGAGCGGCGGATACGCAGGGAGATCGCCAACAGCAATGAGCGGCGACGCATGCAGAGCATCAACGCCGGGTTCCAGTCCCTGAGAACCCTCATCCCGCACACGGACGGGGAGAAGCTCAGCAAGGTGAGGAGCCCACCGCGAGCCGCTGAGCTGGGCAGAGCATCTGCGCATCGCCCTGCCCGCTGACCAGCCCTCTTGTTCCGTGGGGGCATTTGGAGCTGCAGGGGCAGCGCTCGCGGAGGCTTCCATGTTTCCGTGCGCTGCCGGGTCCAACTTCCCGCATGCTGGTCGGTGCCATAGCAGGTGGTTGGCAAGGGCGGGATATTTTGGTGTCCCCCATACAAGGCGCCTGGATCACTAGATCTTTCTGGCGTTTTGTAAACCTTTCAGTGGCTCTTTCAGTGCCGTTTCACCCCTTCCTGGTGAGGCCTTTTGTTTCTTGGGACTCCACTGCAGTGACATTCAAACCACGGAAACACGGATGTAGAGGGCACAGGTTTAGAGGAGCGATCCTGCTATGGATTGGTAGCTGTTTCCCAAAATAAGGGAAAAAAGAAGGCAGAGAGCAGGCATGAACAGTTATTTCTCCCAGTGGAGGGGTGCAGGATCCCTGGGGCCCCGTGCTTCCCAACATGTCCCTGCCCAGTCTGAAATGAGGGGGCAGCCGAGCGTCAGCCAGGTTTGCTGGGAGCCCCTCATTCTTCCGGGTGGTTAAACCGGACGGGCCCCCCACAAAGGGCTCCGCAGAGCAGGGAGTGGCAGATGTGCTCTGGTGGCGGGAATCCCTCCGGGGTTGCCAGGAGCTTCCTTCTATTTTGACGCTTGTGTTGACGGACTCCGGGCCGGCAGGAACCGTCTGCAAAGAGGAGCAGCGTGACGGAGATGTTGGCCCAGCTGTGAGAAGCAGGGGCCCCGTCTGAGGAGAACGAAAATAAAGCGCTCACAGGGAGCCAGGCCGATCATGGTGCATTTCTGTGGCACAACAGCTTTCAAACAATTGTGAGCGGCTCAGAGCTCGTCAGAACACTGCACCTCGGGAGGAGTATTGTAGAGTTGCAAGCGGTGCAAACAAGCGAGCTTACGGCCAGAGGAAGGGAGTGCAGGGTTTGGGGTGCTGCGCTTGGGCAAAGCACAAACGAGGGAAGATATGAAGGTGTACACAATTATGCCAGGTGTGGAGAAGGCAGGAAGACTTTCTCCCTCTCCTGACGCTAGAATCCAGCAGGATCATTCTACAAAAGCAACCGGTGAGAAACAAGCTAGGTGAAAGGAAATATTTTTAATATTCAATTAAAATATTCTTAAATTCCTCTTAGTTTTCTAATAGCACGTAGCTAAATAACAGCTCCCAATTTGTGAGGCTTCAAAAGAGGACTGGACGAATTCTTGCCGGGGAAGGCAGCTGCCGTGGCTGGCAGTCCTCGTGCCCGCCAGATGGGGAACATGGGCCAGAGGGTGCTGTTGAGCACCTGTCTTGCTTGCGGGCTTCCCATACGGGCCGCTGTAAAACAGAATTTCGCTGGTCTGGATGCACCCAGTGCCTGATTCCGTGTGGCGCTAAACCCTCCTTCACAAGAAAAGGAGGGGGGCGACCCGGGGAGGGTGTCTCTACAGGCCCCCAGCCGCCACTGATGTTCTCGAGGTCCATTTGCAGGGCTGGCGTGGGGCTTGCTTGGGGGCAGGCGCGCGTGAGAGGGGCAGGCGGGCGAGTTGGGTTGCATGTGTATCTCCTTCCGCTCAGTCGTCTGTGTCTTGGCCTCCCTCCAGGCAGCGATTCTCCAGCAGACGGCAGAATACATCTTCTCTCTGGAGCAGGAGAAGACGCGCCTCCTGCAGCAGAACGCGCAGCTCAAGCGGTTCATCCAGGTAATGGCAGGTGTGCATGCGCCTCGCTCGGGGCATGCAGGAGGGCTTTGCTCCCCCACCTGCCCCTTGGAACGGACGGAGCTGTTTGGGACGCTTCCCCCGCCCTGTAGGCCCGGGAACGGCCTCCTTCCGCTCGGGCTGGGCTGGAGTCGGGCCGCCCACCCTGCCGCCGGCCGTCCCTTGCCGTACTGCACCTTGAGGGTCCTCTTTCCCATGCCCCCCGGCCCACTCGCCCACAGTGGTTTTGCTGTGGCTCCTGGAGAGGAGCTGCTCCAGCTTGTCTCTCCGTTTTGGGTTTTATGCTGATGCACTGCCCCATCCCCGTCGGCTCCGGCAGCCTACCAGAGATTTAAATCAATAATCATTTGTATTTAGAGGAAAGCCGGCCTAAAGCTAGTCTGGGAGGTCCTGGCAGGAGAGGCGGGTCTTTCGCCTGCTCTGGAAAGCAGCGGTCTGGGAGAGCAGATGCGTGTGTCCTGGCGGGCCGCTCCACGGCTGAGCGGCAGCCCCGAGCAAGTCCTGTGGGCTCCTGGCATCCATCCCGCAGAAGCCAACCTCCCGCGCTTGGCGCCACAGGCCTTGGCAGGTGTGGTGTGGGGCATGCACGCCATCTCTTCCCTGTCTGCCCGGTAGGAATTCAGTGGCTCCTCCCCAAAGCGACGGAGAGCAGAGGACAAGGACGAGGGCATTGGGTCACCGGACATTTGGGAGGACGAGAAGGCCGAGGATCTGCGCAGGGAGATGATCGAGCTCCGGCAGCAGCTGGACAAGGAGCGCTCGGTCCGGATGATGCTGGAGGAGCAGGTAAGGGGGCCGCCGTGCGGCGAGCCGGTCAGCCTGGGGGCGAGGCGTGGCGGGGCTGGTGTGCCTTGACTTCCTGTGGCCGCCGGAGGAGGCGGCGGCTGCTGGCCGGCCCACCTGGAGCTCTTCCGAACTCCTTCGGCTGTGGGGAGAAGTGGCGTGGGGCGTGCGTGGTCCCGCCTTCCCCCTGAGCGCGCGATCGAGCTGTGGGCCGGCGGAGGAGTGGGGAGCAGAGCCCTGTGCAGGGGGCGGCTCTTTGCTCCAAGCCTGCGGCTGCGCTCATGCAGGCGGGCTGCTGCGCTCGCGCCCCCACGGGGCCGGGGCCGTCCGGGAGGGGGTGCCGCCTCCCCACCCAGTGACCAAGCCCGTCTCTGGCTGGCCGGCAGGTGCGCTCCCTGGAGGCCCACGTGTACCCGGAGAAGCTGAAGGTCATCGCACAGCAGGTGCAGCTGCAGCAGCAGCAGCAGCAGGGCCAGGTGAGGCTGCTGCACCAGGAGAAGGCTGAGCGCGAGCAGCAGGCGCCCGGCCAGGTGAGTGCGCAGCTCGTGCCCACCGCCCGCCCCCCCCCGAGGCCGCCTGGCCCGCAGCTGAGCCCTGAAGGCAGGCCTGCGTGGGCACCCCCCTCCTGCCGCTCAGCCTGCCCAGGGATCCGGGGCATCTCTGGGTGCGCCTGCGAAAGGGGCCTCTTGCCATTGCGGCTCCTCTTGGGGAGGCCACCCACTCACGAGCTTGGCTCCTGCTGGTGATCTGGGGGGCGGCTCATGGGTGTGCTCAGGCACCAGTCCGGGGCAGGGGCTTTGGGGCACGCCCTGATGTGGGGTCTCCTCTCCCTGCAGCTTCTGCCCACCCACGGCCCCCCTGCGCCCACCCACCACCCGACCGTGATTGTCCCCGCTCCGCCGCCGTCTCACCACGTCACTGTGGTGACCGTGGGCCCGTCCTCCGTGATCAGCACGATCTCCACTTCCAGGCAGAACCTGGACACGATCGTTCAGGTGAGGGGCCCGTGGCCGTGGGGGGTGAGCCCCGCCCTCTCCCGGGACAGGCGTGCCGGAGGAGGAGAAGCGGGGGCCTGGCGTGGCCGGAGCCCCGTGCGGCGCTGCTTGGCGCTCCCGGGAGCCCCTCCTGTAGCCGCCTGCTGCGGTGGGAAGGGGTTCGGTGCGGAGCCGCAAAGGGGCTTCTGGGGGGCCTGTGGCAGCCCCAGGAGGCGTGTGGGGTGCCCAGTCCCCGCTCTCCGGTGCGGTGCGGCCCCCTTCCTGCACTGCCTTGCGGCAGGCGCGGGGCTCACGCCGCCCCCTCTCCCCCAGGCGATCCAGCACATCGAGGGGACGCAGGAGAAGCAGCTGCTGGAGGAGGAGGAGCGGTGCCGCCGCGCCGTCATCGTGACCCCCGCCCGGGCCAGCCTGGACCCCTCCAACTCCGACACGGCCTCCGACTCGGAGGCGGACGACAGCGACGGCATGGAGCACAGCAAGGCCGAGCGGCCCTGACCCCTGCCCGGCCGCGGGGCGGGGGGGGGACTTCAGAGATATGCTGAAATTTTTACAAAATACCATTAAATTTGGGTCGCTTTTATGACCTTTCAATACTGTAAGCGGGAGCATCCGAACCGGGGGGCGCCGAGGCCAGCCAGGGGCGTGGAGCGCCGTGGGAGGCACAGGCTGCGTTTTCCTGGGCATTCGCGGACCATGCCCGTGGCCCCGCGACACCCCCCCCGCACGCCCCCAGACCCAGCCGGCCTTGTGTGCCCCCGGGACTGGCGGCACGGAGCGCCGCCGCCTCCCCTGCCCGCCTGGGCCCACCTCGCTCGCAGCTCCCGGCCCGGCTCCACCTGGCAGATGCGGCGTGCTGGAGCCGTTTTTTGGGGCCGGGGCAGGGCTGCGTGTGCCCATGGCCAGGAAAGGGCCTTTCCCATAGTGGGCCGTGGACCCCCCCCAATTCCCGGGCTGGCTCAGGCTTCAGACCGTTTCATAGGTTGGGGGCCTCCTTGAACAGGGCACCGCTCTGTGGGGGCGCGGTCAGGGCCCCCAGGCGCCTCTCGTCCGCCGGGGGCGCTCCCTCCCCGTTCGAAGCACTTAGTCCGTTCCGTGGGTCTGGCCGCGAGCGCCCGTATTCCTGCTCCGTGGTGGGCGCCCCCGCCGCCCCGTCCTCCCACCGCCTCTCCCACCTGGCTGAAGTCTGGGCCAGTGTCGTTCGGGCCTGTTGGTATTTGGTAGGTTCTTCCCCACCCGCAGCTGTTCCTCAGTTATTTCAGTTCCTTGTTCTTCTCTTCGTTTTTTTAAGTTTTACAATTTTCGGGTCTTCGTGTTCATTGAGATGCTATTATATTTTGTTAAGAAAGTGGGGAAAATGAGGCTTGTGCCTTTGTAAAGAAACAAAATAAAGTTTGTACTTTGTTTTTTAGACCCCTGTGTGGCATGTGAGTCTTTGGGGGCAGGTGCTCCTCGCCCCACGGCAGGAGCAGTGCTGGCGCCCTGCCGGGCCGGTGGATCCCGGAGCCGCGTGGTCCCGCCTTGGCCTGGGCTGGGCTCCAGGCGCAGGACGAGGAGAGCGGGCAGGAAGGCCTGCCGGAAGTGGAGGCGGCAGAGGAGTCAGGAGCGGCCTTTCCTGGATCGCTCCCTCAGTGAATGGGGCCGTCCGGCCTGAGAAGGCAAGGATTCCTGCGAGGGGGAGCCTTCTGGAGCCGTCCCTCCACCTGGGACAGGTGCCCGCAAGGCTGGGGAGAGGAGGGAGCCCCACGCGGCCTTCTGCCCCACATTCTCCCCCACATTCTGCCCACACCTCGCAGGAGGAGCCCGTCTGGGACTGGAAGGGGGGAAGAGCCCTCACCCTGCAGTCTCCCCCCACCGCCCCGTGCGTAGAAGCGGAATTGCCGAGGGGGAAGGGGCCAGGGGGCTGGCGGGTCCAGCAAGGCGTGCCAGTGCGGGGCCCTGGGCTGAACTGTCCCTCTGCCCCACCGGCCGAGGCTCCTCTTCCCCGCTGGGGGCCTTGGGGTAATGCGGGGCCCCTAAAAGAGGCGGCAGCCCCACAGCAGTCACTGGAGCTCTCTATTCGGTGGGGGGGTGCTGGTCCCACTGGGGAGAGTGGGGAACCAGCACCCCCCCACAGGAGAGGGGGGCACAGGGTGGGGGGCAGGTACTCGGAGGCGGGGGCCATGGGCCCACAGCTGGGGATGGAGAGGGCCAGCTGCCGGCCTCCTGGGCCATGAGCCGCCCACCTGCCCCCCCCCCCCCGCCATGGGCAGCATCGCCGGGCCTCCCTGCCTTCCGTGCCCGTCCACTTTGGGCTTAGGGGCCACCAAGTCGCCGCCCCCGCCTTTCTCTGCCCCAGCACCCACCGGTTTCTTCTTCGAAGGGCCCCAGACAAGCCGCAGCGCGAAGGGCTTCCTGCACCAAGCCCTGTGGGGGCCAAGTCTTCCATGGGAAGGGGCCGGGGGTCCCCTTCCCCCCAGCTGCACCCAGTGCTCCCACCGGCCGCTGACCAGGCACCCCTCCCCTCCCAAGGGGTGTGGGCGCTCCCCCACAGCGGCCCAGCGCCCCCCCCGCCAGCTGCTTGCCCCACCCCTCTCCCTACTTGGCTCGCGACCGGACGCCGTTCCGGCTGGAGTGGCCGGCGGGGAGGGGCCTCGGCAGTGCGGCTCCAGGCACCCCTGTGTGGCCTCCGGCCGGCCGGCAGCTGCTGCAGGAGCCTCGGCGGAGAGCAGACCGGAGGGGAGGCAGCTCCCGGCGGCCACCATGAAAGGGCTTGGGCTGCTCTGCTGCTGCGTGGCGCCGCTGCTGCTAATCGCGACTGCAGGTACGGCGCGCTGCTTCGCGGGCGCCCCCCCGCCCCCCCAGGCCGCTGCTGCGCCTCCCACCGTCTGTGGGCACCCGTGGCACCCTTCGTGGCGGGCAGCACCTGTTCGGGGCGGCTGCAGGGGGGCCTCGGCCGTCCTGCAGGGCGTGGGAAGCCCCCGGTGCATGCGGTGTGGCGGGGTGGTGGGGGAGGCTGGCAGGCCTCCCCCGCAGCTGGCCGGGCAGCGAGGGGCAGCGAGGGGGTCGGTGGCGGAGCGCAGTGCAGGAGCAGGCCTGCTGGACAGCCGGGCGAGGGGCCGGGGAGGCGCCGGGGCGGTGGGGCTCTGAGCCGAAGCTGCCCCGACACCCCTCGTGTCTCGGGCAGCGGCCCAGCCTGGCGAGCGCCTTCGGCCGGCCGTCTCCGGGGGCTGCTGCCGAAGGGGCGTGTGCCCCATGGAGCCGTCCCCTTGACTGCCCTTGAGTTAATTTGGTCTCCCTGCCGGCGCTGCACTCCCAGCTGCCTCGGGGCAGCTAAGTTTGGAAACAGGCGTGTAACTGGACCCCCAAACTCCCCCGGGCGCCCCCCCGCCTCGGCCTGCCAGCTCAGCTGCTGCCTTCTCGCAGAGGGCCGGTGCCCTGCGTTTCGTCCTTTTAAGGCCATCCCCTCTCATTCCACAGAACAAAGGGAACTGGGGGCCGGGGGTCCCCTCCCTGGGCAGCCGGCCCCCTGTGTGACCCCCGGTGCCCCGGGCAGCCCCCTCGGAGCCCGCGGGGCCCGTCCTTCCCCTCCCCACCGGCCCTGCCGCTCCCGGGGGGTCCCCTCCAAGCACATGCCTCGGCCTTGGTGGAGGGCCGGAAGGGGCTGCCAGCTCTGGAATGGGCTGACCTGCGCCGGGAGGCCTCCCGACGAGCCGGCGTGCTGGAGCCCAGCGTTTGCACACGCGTGTGCACACGCTGCAGCAGGGGCGGGGCCGGGCCTGGCTGCCAACCGGAGCACTCCCGAGCCCAGGAAGCCCGACCTGGGCTGGTGCCTGGGCTGCCAAGGGCCCCCTTGCCCCCGCTCCTGCTCCCCTCCTGCTGGGAGAGCACCTTTTCCGGCTCGGGCCCCACCTCACATGCTCGGGGCTCGGGCCCGCGTGGCGGCAGCTTGCCGTGGCCCCAGCCGTCTTCTCTCGATCGTCAGCTGAGACACTCTGTCCCTCGGGCCGCAGACAGTGCTGGGGCTTGGTCTCTGGGCAGGGCCCACCCGGGGGTGTGGGTCACTGGGCAGGGAGGCTCCCCATGGCCCCCCTGTGTGGTCCTGGCAGGAAGGCCCGGCTCGAGCTTGCTGGCTGCGGAGATGGCAGGGCCGGCCGGTCTGGCTTCCTGCGGGAAGCACACGGCCCTGGCCAGCCTCTGCCCCCGGCCCGCACGGGGCCAAGCCGTGCTCTCCTCCGGCCTCTCCCCCGGCAGCCACGGCTGTGTTTCCGCCCAGCAAGGGGTGCGCACCCAGTTCAGCTCCCAACCGAACCTGGTCGTAAAGGCCTGCATTTCATTTTGCGTGTTGCCTGGTCTTTGCTTTTTTTTAATTTTTGAGTTTTGCTCTTTGATGAGGCACCCCCTTTCCGGGGACCGTTTTGCTCCGCCGGGTTCTGTTTCGATGCCCCTTTGAAGGGCGTGGAGCCAGTAGCTGAGAACGTGAATACGGACTGGTTGGAGCCAGGTGCAGCCTGGTCCGGTGCCGCCTCGGGACGCATCCGGTTCGGGAAGCGAAGGTGGCGGCAGGCCTGGTCCTCCTTCCTCGGCCGCTGGGGCTCCGTCACGCCTCCCCTTCTGCTCGGCGAGGCTGCGGTTCTCCTCGGGGCTTGGAGAGGTGTGCGCCCGGCCAAACGACGACCTTGGGCAGGCCTTGCCCGCCCCGTTCCGCCCGGTGTTCAATGGCAGCACCTGCCAGCCCTGACCCCTTTCCCGCTGCCCCTGCGAGCGAAGGCTGCCTCGCGTTGGCATCGCCCCTCCTGGCATCGGCCCTGCTTTTTGCCCCCGTCTGTCCTGCAGGCTCTTTCTGGAGTCCAACTCTGAAGGCCGCGAGGGTCCCGCGTCCCGTGAAGCCTTTGCCGGGGCGGCTTTGTTCCCCTGTACTGCTCCTGCCACTGGCCGCTCGCCGGCACTTCCGCGTCTCTCTCTCCTGAGGGATCTTGCTGGCACCTTCCGTGGGGGTGGTGCCCTATTCTGGAGCCCACACCGCCCTGGGAAGGAGAGGGGTGCTGCTCCCTGTGCAGGAATTCCACACCTCTCTTCCAGAAATAGAAGCCAATCTGGTGATTCCTGGTGCATCACTTTCTGGCTGAGAACCCTCAAGGAAGCAGATGCCACCTCTCGGCTTCGGAGGGGGAGCCGCTCTCGCTCAGCCGCTTGGGCCGCCGAACGTGCGGGAGGCCTCGGCCTCCATCACTCGTTAAGCTCAGCATCTGACGAGGTGGGCGCTCACCCACGGAAGAATGTGGTGGAATAATTGTGCTAATCCTCAAGGTGCCACGAGCTTCTTTGCTGTTTGTGTGGAAAGAGGCCGCTGTAGCTGCTCCTCTGGGAAAAGTCAAATGTGCATCTTTCGGTCTCCCTTCCAGGTGCTCAAGGCCTGGCGCCCCCGGTGCCTCCTCCCGCCCCCGGTACACATTTATGATGGCACAGATGTCAAGGAGGGAGGAGGCAGGAGCCAGGGCAGGAGGCGCTTCTCTGGGGCAACGGCGGGTTTGATGCTGCATCCGATGGGCGCACAGGGCGCTCCACTGCCGAGGGCCCGTTGCTAATTGCGGCAGTGATGCTATTTGCTCGGCAGGGGAACACGCTGTGGCCGTTTTTAGGCGGTGGGGCGAGGTGGTACCCGCAGGGCAATTCGAGCCTCGGAAGTGCCTCCCGGCCGGGCCTGCCACTGGCCCACCTTGCCAGAGTTCCCGGGCCACTGCAGATCGGAGGCATGCTGAGAACGAGGAAGTGGCTTTGGCTCCGTTCGGGGCCGGGGACAGCCGGCAGGGGGGTGTCCCCGCTCCATCGGCATCTCTGCTCCGCCACCGCCTTCCTGCGAATGGCCGTCATGCAGTCAGCGCAGGTCACCGAACCTGATTTCCAGAGTGTGCTGTCGAGGCAGAACTTGGGGCTGGTGAGGGGTATGTTTGGGTTTGGGTTCCAGGAAACCAGAGCACCCGTACGCACACATGCACACGCATGGGACCGGTACATTCCACGTGCGTGGCATGGAGCATTTCCGGGCACCTATTTCCTCCAGAATCGTAGGACTCGTGCGGGCAGCCAGCGCTCGCAGAGGTCAGGAGTGGGCCCGGCAAGTCCCAGCTGTCCGAGAGGCAACCAGGAAGCGGCGGCAGTTGGTGGCCGGAGTCTCCATGGCCCCGCAGCTTCATTCCAGCGTGCCGGGCAAACGGGCGGCGCACCGCTGCCCCCCTCCTCGGGCCTGTTGGCATGAAGCTGCCGTGTGCTGTGCGGCCACGCATCCCCCCTCCCCATCCATGGCAGGCCGGGGCTGTTACGTGTGCAGTGATGACTGTAGCGCAAGGGAGTGCTCACGCAGAGCCGCCGTGACCGTGCTCCCCTTGCGCAAATCTCCGGGGCGGCCGCTCCTAGAGTGCCAGCGACCGCTCTGGTCACAGCACCCGAAAGGGAGCCTGCAGAGCTGGGGAGAGTGCGGTCAGGGCGACCGAAACGCTCCAGTGGCAACGATGTTCGGAAGGGTGGCTAGCTGTGCGCCGGTCGAGCTTCGGAAAGGGGAGGCATGCTGGAGCCGTCCAAAGCCGCGCCTTCGGTGGGGAGGGCGCATCCTGCTGGAACCCGCCTGGCTCATCCCGTGAGGCTGGGCGGAGAGTCCTGGAGGAAAAGGGGGGCGCAGGGCAGACTTGCCAGGTGCCGTGGGCATTGGACCCATGCTATGGGGAGGCGCTGATCTGTGCCTGCTGGCCTTGGCGACTTCATCGTCCCAGGGTCCAGGCTGCTGGGGAATACGGGCTGGTGGGTGCCACTGCAGCGGTGTCTTGCCCGTGGGTTCCCAGGGCGCGTGGCAGGCCAGACTGGCTGGGCTGTGGCTCAGAGGCAGCGTCCGCTTCGTGCCTGTTTCCCGGGAGTTGGCTCTTGTTCCCGAAACGGGTGAGGCTTCCCCTCTGCGTGGGAAAAGAGTCCTTGCTGGGGCTCTCGGCCCCCATAGTTTCCCCAGCAGCCCTCAGCTGAGCTCCAGGTGGCTGCGACGGCTAGAGTGTGGCTGCCCTCTTCCTCGGTTTTGGCCTGCCCTTGCCCCTGCATGCGGCACCGGAGTCGACCCTGCCTGACAATGTGTGAACAGGCCCCGGGGAGCCGCTGGGATTCCGGACTGTGGCTGGGCCATCGGCTGCCGCAGCAGGAGGAAGCCGCGGCCCCAGGGGAGCCCCCCAGCTGCAGAAGCATCCTCCCCGTGGGGAGCTGCCTGGGCTCCCCACCAGATGTGCCGCCCGGGCATGCGCTGGGTGGGCAGCCGTCCATCCCGGGAGCCGCGCCAGGGCAGGCACAGAGCTGGGCTATTTTAAGGTGACTGCCGGGTCCTCCCTGGAAGCCCGGATTCTGGCTCCCGGTCAGAACCGCGTGGCACAAAGACGCTCCTTCGGGATCTGCGGGGGCTTCCTTCGCCGGGAGGGCATCCCTGGCGTGCCTCTCTCTGAGCGCCTCCCCGGCCCGCGACCCGTCCGGCCTCAAGCCCCACCCAGCACAGACATGCAGAGGCCGCGGGAGACCTGCTCCCGAGGAACGGCCGCTTCCACGAGCCGCCGCCGCCCCGGGCAGGGCGGTTCAGCCCAATGGGGCATCTGCACCAGGAAGCATCCCCACCTCGGGGCTGCGCGGCTGGCGCACTCTAGCTGGCCGATTTCGCTAGCCCAGGCGCCTCCCAAAGTCTCAGGAAGTGGGCCCGAAGCCACTGAGTGAGCTTCAGGGTCAAGTGGGGACGAGAACCCGGGTCTCCCGAGTCCCAGTCGGGCTGGACCGGGCCGGCTCTCGGCTAACCCTTCCCGCTCATGTGATCGCACCCACCAGCCACACGTGCCGTGGCTCACGCTGGTGCTCACAGGCTGTCAGCAGCTGCGCCTTCTCCCACCCCCGGGGCATCTGCACGGGGTCCCTGCGGCTGCGATTGCATGGGGGGGGGGGCAGCCTGTTGCCTTCCCTGCCCCAGCAGCTCCATGAAGGCTCTGGCACCCCCATCAGGGGCTTCCCCCCACCACTGATGCCCATGGGGCATGCAATGCCCCCCCCCCCCGACTTGGAGGCATTCAGGATCTGGCCATGGAGGGGGCATCTCCAGAGAGATGGGGAACATTTCCGGCACTGAGTGAGGCCCTCCTCCTCCTCCTCCTCCTCCCAGCATCTTAACGGTCCAGCTTTTTAACTTTGTTCGTAAGGTTGCATTTTGTTCTGTGTTGCTGCGCGGGTCCGTGGTGATCCAGCTTGTGCCCGAGGGGGCACCTCTGAGCCCCCGCGCCCTGTGGCAATGCTGCTCGGCAGGAAGAAAGCAGACCCTGCGGGAGCCAGTTGGCTTTCCGGGCGGGTTTCCCCCGGGTGGGCAGAGAGGCGTTTCTGCCGCTGGCAGACGGAGCGGGCTTTGGGGCCCGGAGTGGTGGGCCACGTGCGGAGTGTGGCCAAGCTGGCCGAGCACACCGGAGGCGGGTGCGCCTCCCACGCAGAGGGGCTCCTGGAGGGGACGCCTCGCCCCACGCTGGCCACACAGTGCGTAGCCAAGCCCCCCCCCCCCCCCCCCGCATGGGACACACGCCCTTCGGCTCAGCTCTGACGGGCAGCGGCCGGCCTCGCCTCGCCTGGCCGCTGCTCCCTTCACGGTGGCCATGCCTTGAATCGGCCTCGGGAAAAGAGGCCTCGCCACAGAGGGGGCCGGGGACTGGCAACCGAAGGGCGCGGGGGGGGGGCTGCCTGTCATGCCGGGCACTGTGAGCAGACCTCTGGCTTTCCGATGCGATCAGCCCTGGCTCTCGGCAGCCCCCCGCATGTCTGGGCGTGGGGTCCCTCATGCCGCACAGCGTGTCAGTCGGCAGTGGGGCCACAGGGTCACCCGAGCCCTTCCTCCCCCACCATCCCCTGCCCCCCAGCAAAGCCGGAGCCTGGAGTAGGGACTCCCACCCTCCTGGGACTCTTTGGTGCCCAGGCAGCCTCTCTGGCCCGGCTGTCTCCAGCCGAGCCCCCGGCCCCCCACCAGCAGGGGTATTTTTAGCCCGGTGAGGAAGGCTGCTGGGTGCTAAGCCCGTAACCTTCAGCCCGTTTTGCTGCATGGGAATCATCCTGTTCACCATCTGCAGCTCAGCACAATTTGGTGCCTGATATAGTTAAAGGCCCCACTCTGGGGGCACTGAGGACAAGCGGGGAGGGAAGGGCTCATATAAGGTCCAGAAGGGCACATGGGTGGGGGGCCAGCGGCCCTAAGAGCAGCCTCCTGACCCTTCCCGTGTGGAGAGCTTGATCTCCCTCTCTCTCTCTCTCCCCCCCCCCCTGCATCTCCCTTTGGGCAAGCGTTCGGCGGTGGGCATCGGAGGGGCTTGGTGGAAGAGATCTGGGCCCCAGGCTGCCAAACGGGACTTTCCAGTGGAGGGCTCCGCATGAGCCGAGAGATCCGTGTGTGCCCGGACCGCCAAGCCCGGGATCTGCCATCACGGAACGTGGGCCCATGTTTTAGTTCGGCGCCGGGCAGCCTGGCGGGGAAGCGTCCCCTGCCCCCAGTCTGGGCGGTCCCGCCCCATCGCCAGCCCCGCCTTCGCCACCCCCGCAGTGCTTTTGCGGGGCCTGCCTGGACATGGGGCTTCGCCTGGGCCTGTGGCTGCCGCAGTATTTGGCAGCGCAGGTGGATCCGGACAGGCACGGGCCTCTCACTGTGCCACAAGTATTTCAGGAGGCTGGATCCCGGTCGCGTCAGTCCGGCCCGGGCAAGCACAGTCGGAGCGAGCGGCAAGAGCACTCCGGCTTCCTTCCTGCTCGATGTTGACACTCCTGCCTTTCCGTGGGAGGGGCGCGGGAGGTGCCGGTGCAGCAGAGGAGGCCAGGGAGCCTCGGGGCCACCGGAAGGGCCCTTCCTAGGCCCACGGGGTTTTCGGTCTCTTGCTCAGGCCGGGGAGAGCACCTTGCAACCTGCGAACGCCTCCGGCCGTGGCTGCTGCGGCTCTCTTCCGTGGGGGCGTTCCCTTCCACAGCTGCTGTGTCCCTTTTCTCTCTGCCTGTAGGCTGGAAGGGCGAGAAGCCCGGCCAGGAAGGCCAGAAGGCTTGCTAAGGACTGCCGGGGGGCCCCCAGCCGGCACCTGCGCACACCCGGTGCCTTGGTAGGAGCAGGGCAAGCACGAGGGCTAGGACTGAAAGTGCATTTATACGGACCTCGGGACGCGCCCCCGCTTCACGCTGCCCTCGGTAGAGGAGGGAGCCGGGTCTGCGTCTGGCCTGAGTCCCGCCTGCAAAGCCACTCGGGCTGTTTTGAGGAGAGGGGCAAGCCAGGCACAGACCAAACTGACTGACCGTGTTCTAACCGTTTAGAGCTGCAAGTGTCTGCCCCGGATGGCACAGAAGATGCTGCCAGCTTTGTGGAGGGCGGCCTGTTGCCCGGAGACCAAAGCCTAGTGGACAAGGAGACACTGCTTTGTGGAGACGTGGCCGCTGTGCCTCCTGGGTCGGGCACCCCCGTCCAGCCCCCTGGCAGTCACCAGAAGGAAGCTGCCGTGGACGCGAGGGGGAGGGCGCCCCTCGCGAGGGGCTTCTCCAAGGTGGATGCTGACGCTGATGCCCCCATCTCCGAAGCCGGCAGCCTGGAAGGGAATGCGGCCCACTTTGCTGGACCGGAGGATGCTCCCAGCAGAGGGCACGACGTGGACGGACAAGGAGATGGTGGACGGAGCCCGGAGAAGGAGCCTGAGAGCCCTTCTGTGCACGGCCCAGAGGAGGGAGGCTCATCTGGAGAGCAGGAGAGCGATGGAGAGCCCATTCAGTCCCGTGAGGACGGAGAGGGGGCCCTGCCCCCTCTGCGGGACAATGTCACGCAGGCCGCTGCTGGCTCAGGCACGGAGCACAGGGGCGCCTCTGAGGAGAGCGATGCCCTCAGCGACGAGTCTCCGGCACGGGATGCCGAGGGCGCGCCCGACAGAACAGAGGAGGGCACCCTGGAGCCGGGTGAGGCAGAAGACACGGAGGGAGGCTCCAGAGAGGAAGACGGCGCAGGAAGGGAAGTGAAGGACAGTCCTGAGCAGCTGGAAGCAAAGGGTTCGGAAGAGGACGACGGGGCCACCACGGCAAGGCCAGCCGCTGCCGGCCATGATGGAGGAGACGACTCGGAGGAAGGAGACGACTCGGAGGAAGAGGATGATTCGGAGGAAGGGGAAGATTCAGAGGAGGAAGACGATGGCCCCCTGTCAGAGGAAGAGGACGAAGATGAAGCAACGACAGCCCCAACCGAGCAAAACTCTTCGGCAGAAGAGCACATTTCTCACGGGGAAGGAGAAAAACAAGAGGGGGTCATTTCCCCAGAGGAGAGCGAGCACGGCACCGAGCCTGTGGAAGAGGGGGCTGGCTGGGGGCAAGGCGTGGACAAGGCGGGCCTGGAGGACAAGGAGCTCAGCAGAGACCCTGGCCCCGCGGGTGTGCGTGACACGGGCACCCACCCCCATCCCCAAGGGCAGGAAGCCGCCTCTGGCTCTCCCAGCAGCGGGCACCAGGAGACGCCTTCGGAGCCGGCCCGGCCGGCCCTGGCTGCGGACTCGGCACCTGGAGCAGCTGACACGGCGGGTCCCGGCCACCTCCCCGCAGCAGAGGCCGCTGGCCAGCTGGCCCAGAGAGGTTCTGCCCTCTTTCGTCCCATACTGTAGTGCTAAGCGGTGCAGCGTCTGCAATGGCCTCCAGGCCCAGCCGGGCTGCTCTGCCGGCGTTGCTCCCGGGCGGGGGGCCCAGGGCAGGAGCCTCGCCCCGGTTTGGCAGCTGCCAGAGGCCAGCTCCAGACGGGATGGGCAGCCCGAGTTTAATGGCGTTTCAGATTCTTAGGAGAGTCCAAAATCAGCAAGGACCATGTGCCTTGTGCCGTGTCTGCATCTTCTCACCTCCTGTGAGATGCAAAATCCGTGCAGAGCAGGGTCAGTAATTTGAGCTGCGATCCAGAGATAACCAGTTTAGCCTTTTGGAGGCAAGTAAGGGGAAAGCTAAAGGAACAAAGCAAGAGCATTGCTGAAATTGCGCAAGCATCCGGGGTCTCCCTAAAGCCAAAAGGGTTTCTTCTTCGCCATCAAGATCACAGTGGAAATAACATGTCATTTAATAATAAACAGAACAACACAAAAACTAAATACTGTACCGTTACCAAGTTGAAAGGCGCAATCCTTGACCTGAGAATTTTAATTCTCAGGTGTGCTGCACGGGCTTTCCTGAGCCCAGCCACTGAGGTGCCTTTTGTGCCCCACCTCCGAGGGACGGTCCGGCGAGGCAGGCATCCCTGCCGCCCGCCACTGCGGCTGCTGCCGGGCCGCCCGGAGGGGCTTCCTTGCATGTCAGAAGCTGGCTCCGTACAGGCGCTGTGCCAGGGATCACAGGATCTCCTGCCGCTGCGGTGGGGGCCGGAGGCAGGGGGCTTCCCTTGGCAAATGCAGCTCTCGGGGGACACATGCTGGAACTGGCGTCGCACCTCAGCCGATCTGGGGCTGGGCAGCCTTTCTGCAGCTTGCAGCTGCCCCGAGGGATGGGCTCCACTCTTCCTGCCACAGTGCAGGCGAGCCAGGCTGCCAGGCACCGCGCAGGCCTCGGCTGCTCCCGGGGAACCCGGACAGGAATTGGGATCCGGCCGGCCCAGGAGCGGTGGGCTCTGCATTGGCACGAAGAGGCCTGGCGGGCGGCCCGCAAGCGTCCCTGCTGATCAGCCACATGTGAACTTGGGGATGGGTGCAGCTTGGCATCGCCCGCTGACCTGGCCCTGGAGCTCAGGTTGGCCAAATGCAGATCACTGTGAGCATCACCACGTGGAATCCAACCCCCCGGAAGGCCACGCACACGCAAGGCCACGTGGGCCCCCTCCCTGGTCCGTGTCAGGCGGCTGGCTAGACCGGCCCCCGAGCCTTGCTTCAGAACTAGCATGGACCACTGCCTTCCGCTGCGCCCGGGGCCCACGGGCCAACTTGGGGGGCTTGGGGTGGCCCTGGGGCACACCGGGCTCCGTCCCCCAAGGGCTCTCCTCTGCTCCCCACCCTGATTGTAGGGCTGCCCCTGACCTTCCAACTGAAAGGAGTGACCGGGGGTCCCCCATTTTCTGGCCTTTGAAGGTGCTCTAGCACCAAAGGCATGGGAAGGAAGTATTTTTTAAAAATCTTGAAAACAGTAAAAGCACCACGTAAAAATAAAGCAACGCCCCACCCGACGGACCTCGCAGATCAGGCAAAACCAGCGAAACACCCAGCGAAAGGTGGGCACCGCTCCCTGGCAGCCGCCTTGGCCCTGAGGCCTGGGAAGGCCCAGTGCTCATGTCCCGCCAGCTTGCGTATGGGGCTCCAAATTGGTTCCTGCCATTTATAGCTCTCCTGGGCGAATGTTGGAGTTGTTTCTCTCATGTTGTTTTAAGTAGGGTACTGTTGATCAGGATCAAGGACCAGCTTTGGGGCAGGAATGCAGGACGGAAACCAGGCAAAGGTCCTTGGGGGCTGGGACAGCTCTCCCGCCACGGAGCAGGGTCCCAGCGGAGGGCTGTGCCGGCCCGGGCAGAGGCTGGCGGGCTGCCCCCCAAGGCCCCGCCACGGCCGCGTTTCCCCGGGGCACTCAGGCCCGGGAGTGGCGGGGGGGGGAGCCCTGGGCTGAGCAGCGCCCGCGCCCCACGCCCGGTTTGCACGGACAGCTGCTCTGGGGTCGTGCCCGGGGGCGGGAGGGGGAGGCTCCGCGCCCGCTGGCCGGAACCTCTCCGCCTGGGCGGCCGCGGGCGCGGCGGGGGGCGGGGGCCGCGGGGCGAGGGCCCCCCCGGCGGGCGGGCGCGCGCGCTGAGGCGCCTCTCTGCTCTCTCCCCAGACGAGGCGGAGGTGGCGGCCGCGCCCGCCGCCCGGGACCGCGCCCACATCGAGAGCACGCTGAAGCTGACGGAGGAGCAGCCCGCCGACGACTACTCAGGTGAGCGGACCGGCACCGGCGCCGCGGGGCGGGGGGCGCAGGGCTCGGAGGGGCTTCGCTGCCGCTGGCCGCCTCCGCGGGCCTCCCGCGTGCGCCGCAGCGCGGTCAGGGCGCCGCCCTCCGCCCGGTTTCTCCTGCGGCGCGGGAGGGCTGCGCGGCGCCCCGCAGTCCGCGGAGGGGGCCGGCCGGGCTGGAGGCGGCGCGGACCGATGCGCGCCCCGCCTGGGCCGCCTTCCCCGCTGGGGGCCCCTTTGCGGAGAAAGCCCCGCGCCCCTCGGGCACCTGGGCGCCGAAGGCGCCCCGCGAACCCGCCGCCGCGCCTTCCGAGGCGCCGCACGCGGGTGGCCTGTGGGCTCCCGGCCGGGGGGCGCCTTCCCCGCGCTGCCGTCTGCCCGGCGTCCCCGAGGAGCCCCGGCTCCTGCCGAAGCGGGAAGAGGGCGCCGGACGCCCCGGGGACCGTCCCGCAGCCGCCTGGGGCGGACCGAGAAGGCAGGGCCGGCGCGGGCTGCCCGCTCGCTCGGCGATGCCAGAAGCCCCGGCCTGGCACTGCACCGGGGGGGGGGGGGCACCCACGCGGCTCCAGGCTGCTTCAAGCCCAGGCGGCACCCGCTCCCGGCCGCACCTCAGAGCGCAGCACCTGCCTGGCATCCGTGGCAGGGGAGCCAGGTGGCTGCCCAGGGGAAGGGCCTTTTGGTGGTGGCTCCCCGGTGGTGGAGTGTGCTCCCCCGGCAGACCTGCCTGGCACCTGCATTGCGGTATTTAAAGGCCGGGGGGGGGGGCCTTTCAGCCCCCCACTTTTTTTTCTTATTTATGTGTTATTTCATTCCTGTGCTGCCCAATGGCCAGCGCTCCCTGGGCAGTTCACAACAATTCGTGACAATTACAAAATACAAATAAAACAGCACATTGCGTTTTGTTCTACACAATTCAAAGCTATTTCAGTTGACACGTGAGTCGTAGTAAAAAGGCAGCAGAGCTCAATGGCTCATTTCATGTTGCAGCCGCACTGTCCGAGGCCTTGGGCGTGGAGGGCGGTCTTCGCCTTGGGCCCAAAAGGTGGGCCGCAGGGGGGAGTCGATGCCACCGTGGTGGGGGGCCTCTTCCTTGCTGCCACCCTCCGAGCATCCCCCCGGGACAGCCCTTGGAGGTGGGCTGTTGCTTGCCGCATCTGGGCAGTCAGGGCGGGAGGACAGTGCCAGCCATGCAAGGCTTTGTAGGTTGAACCAGCGCCCCGGTCAGACTCAGGAGCCCGTCGACAGCCGGTGCGCGTGGGTTCTGCATTCAGACCTGATTTTTGGGCCCGGTTTTCAGTCCGGCTGCTGAACAGCGCTCGGCCAAAGAAGCGGCCTTGAAGCACAGCCCCGCGTGGAAGGCACTGCCGTAGTCCGGCTTGGGGTGACCGCAGGGTGGTTCCTGTGGCCGGCTGCCCGTGTCCAGGTGTTCGAGTCGTGCTTTTGGATCACGGCACCGCTGCTGGCTTTCACTTCGATTTTGACCTTTAAAGGTTTTATATCATAGCTGTATTTTTGGATTGTGTTGCTTGTGAACCACTCGGAGAGCCTCCGTGGGCAGCATAGAAACACAGCAGGCAAGCAGAGCCCCTGGAGGGCAGCCCCTGGATGCCAGGGAAATGCATGTTGGGGGGCACAGTGGGATGTGGGGAGCAGGCGAGTGCACAGGGCGGCTCCCCCAGGACTATCGTGGGGGCGGGGGTGGAGGGCTGGCTGCCGGTGCAACGGCCGCCTTCTGCTTCCCAGGCACCCTGCAGAGGCTGCGGAAGATCTACCACACCTCCATCAAGCCCGTGGAGCAGTCTTACAGGTACAACGAGCTCCGGCAGCACGAGATCACAGGTAAGGCCGTGCGATGAGTGGGCGCAGGCTGCTGGCGACGCGCTGCCGGCCGCTTCCCTGAGCTGCTTTTCAAGGTAGGCGTGCGGGGAGCCGGAAAGCTGCTCCGCAGGCGGAAGGGGCTGCGCTTCCTGGGGGGTCTCCCCGGAGCGCCCTTCAGCTCTCCCCAGAGAACCTCTGCTATGGCTCACGGAGCCTGGCCGGGTGCAGCTGCAGCTGAGGATGGGGGCCAGGCCCTAGACCGAGAACGGGGCCCTCGCGCGGGGGGCCCTCGTGGCCCCCGTCCCGGCCACCGTGCGCGCTCACCTCCTGCCTTTCCAGCGGCCCCGCAAGCCTCCCCGAAGGGGTGTGCAGGGCGCGTGGCTTGCGCCTGCTCTCCGTGTCCCTAGTGGCGTGGCATGCTCAGCAGCTGCCCAACGCTGAGCCAGAGCCTGCCTTGGCCCGCCTGGTCCAGCACCGTCAACACGGATTGGCAGCAGCGGCTCTCCGATGTTCCACCAGGGCTCCTGCCTCGACTTTCCTGGAAAGGCCGCCAGGGGTTGAAAATTACCTGGACATTTCTGCTCGCAACCGTTTGCGTCACTGCTGAGCATTAAGCCGCGAGCTGAAGAAGGCTGAGGGAGAGGGTCCCTTCCGGATGTTTGGCGGCCTGCGGAGGCGCCGCTAGGAGCATCTCCCCTGGCCCTCGTCACAGCTTCCGTGTTCCTGCTTCCCCGTGGCATGGCGATGCCTCTTCTCCGCTGTGCCCCCCCCGCCCCCCCGGAATGGCGGTGCCCCAAAGCGTGGCTGGCCGCAGGGCAGGGTGTCCGGGGCATTCGTGGCTCCTTCCCCCTTGCTTCGCCTTCCCCAGCCGCAAGCTGCCTTCGCGCTCCCTTGTAATTTGCTTTTATTTGTCAATCGCAAACTGCGTTGAGATTTGCATCAACTGAGGAGCAGCGTCTCAAAGTTATTGGCAAATAAACTGCAGCGTATCGGCCTTGCTTCTCCCCCAAAGCTGGGATGGGATATGCATGTACCTTGCGTGCGAACCTTTGGGGTCCTGAGCGTGTACTCTTAGTGGACGCATGACTGTTGACAGCAGTCGCTCTTCCGGGCAAGAGGGGAGCGGAAGGAGCTGGACCCCCTCCGTGGTCCTGAGCCCTCTCCGTGGGAAGGCCGAGCCCTGAGCGGCTCTCAGTGGACACCCAGCCAAGCGCCCCCATCAAACCCGTTCCTACTCACGGTGCCTCTTCTCTCCCCCCGGCCCTCTCCCGCCAGCCTACCCCGGACGCACCTTGGGCTCTTCAGCCACAGGTGGGTATGGCTGCCTGGCCCTTGCATGTGAATGCGGCTTCTCCCGTGGAGCCCCTCCCTCGCTGTGCCCCCCACTAGCCCGCCGCCCCTGCCCGCTCCCGCTGTGCCGCTTCCTCCTGCTGTGCCAGCAGCGGCTCCTCCTCCCTCTTCCTCGGCGGGCTGAACGTGCCCCCCTGGCCAGTCTGCCGCAGGGGAAGCACCGGGATGCCCCGTGTCGCCTTGCAGGCCGGCGCATGCGTTGGGGAGCAGCTCGGTGGGCTGGCAGGCCCTGGCGCCAAATGGGACTCCTGGGGGGCTGAGCCCCCTGCCCCGTCTGTGGGTGCCTGCAGGAGCTGCTGCTGGTGCTGGGGGCGTCTGTCCTTCCATAGGCAAGCGACTGACTGCAGGTCCGTGGGGTGCCGCTGAACACGCGCGTCCCGCCTTTTGGAGGGGTTTGCATGCGACATCACGAGGGTCTCGTGCTTCCTGGCCTGAGTGCGAGCGAGTGCCTGGCGTAGGGGCTGCGGCGCAGGAAAATGCACCCGTGTGCACAGTGGCAGACGCAAATACATGTGTGCAGCCGGGTGCTGGAGTGGCGAAGCAAGCGAGCTGCTTTGTCCGTGCGCATGCAGGCCACGATCCATGCTGGTGAGGCCTCTGTCCTCTCCCTCCCTGCCACCCGGCTTGCTCCAGAACGGGGGTCGGCCTTGAGGCTGCGCCTTTGTCGTCGCCCGAGCTCGTCTCTGCGTCGAGCCCAAGCTCTGGCGACCTGGGAGGAGGCGGCATGCGGGGCGGTGTGCGCGGCTGCTCGCTTGGGGTGGTCCATGGCAGGCGGTGTCACGGTGCCCTCCAGGGAAGGGGCTGTGCGGAGGCCTGCTCTTCTCCCGGACTCCACAGTGTCGGCCCATTCTCCGCTCCAAGGGCTTTTCCATACAGGACCGTCCAGAGGCGTCCCCCGCACTGTGTGTGCGCACACGCATGTCGCTTGCCCGGAGAGTTCGCGCAGCCGGCAGCCGGCCACCATGTGGTGCCACACAGCCTCGCTCATTTGTGGAGCCCTCCCAAGCCTCGGCGGGAGAAGGCTCACCGCAGTGGCCCAGCAGCAGCCTGGGCCCCCCGGGAGGGAGGGCTGGCGTGGGCAAGAGGCCCCCACCTGGTTCCCAGCGGCTTGGACTGCTGCGGCTGGCGGATGCTCTGGGAGCAGAACGGCTCTGCCACCCACCTGGCCCTGCCAGCGCTGGGGCTGGGGTCTGTCTTCCTTGGCCTGCCTCGGTTGTCCTGCGGGAGGAATGGGCTGGTGCCCGGCCAGGGGCTTGGAGGGCCCAGATCAGGGTTCAGGCTTTGCCGCCTCTTCGGAGAACCTTTCGCGGTGTTTCAGCGGCGGCGGCTGTGCTTCCCCTGCAGATGGGGAGATCACGTCCAAGCCGATGGTGCTCTTCCTGGGACCATGGAGTGTCGGCAAATCCACCATGATCAACTACCTCCTGGGACTGGATGACACTCCGTACCAGCTCTACACAGGTAGGACACAGGTGCTTGCCCCCCACCCTTAACCAGGCACTGCGGGGCCAGTCCTGTCTATTATGGGGAGGGGACCGTCGGGGTCCTGTGGGCAGACCAGGAGGGAAGCTAGACAGCACCCGGCAGACAGGTCTCCCTGGGCCGGGGCTGCTCAGGCATCGGACCCTCTTCAAGAGGAGGCCGGGAGGGGGCCTGACTCGCGTTCTGAGACTTCGGGACAGGTCAGGCTGGACGTGGGCCTGAGGCCCCCACGGCAGCCTGCTCCTGTCTGCGGCTTGGCAAGCCCCGGCTCAGGCCTAGCTGCATCAGGCCCCGGGGCAGAAGGGCTCCGTGCCCAGAGACCTCCCCTCGGGGGCTGCCTGAAACCCAGTGGGAGCACCTGCGTTTTCTGGCCTCCCAGCACGGAGCCAATTAAGATTATTCCACGCAGATAGCGAGCAGGGCTTTGTGGAGCTCGGTCTGGCCTGTTTCCAAAAGGGGACCATTCCAAAAACATCTCAGCTGCCCTGTTCCTCTTCTGCTTTCTCTCGAACAGGGGCAGAGCCAACCACCTCCGAGTTTACCGTCATCATGCATGGACCGAAGCTGAAGACCATTGAAGGCATTGTCATGGCTGCAGACAGTGCCCGCTCTTTCTCGCCGCTCGAGAAGTTTGGGCAGAACTTTCTGGAAAAGCTGATAGGGATCGAGGTCCCTCATAAGCTCTTGGAGAGAGTGACCTTTGTGGACACGCCTGGGATCATTGAAAACCGAAAGCAGCAGGAACGAGGTAAAGGCTATTCCGAAGGTTTAGAAGGTCTTGAAACAGCACCTGGCTCCACTCCTGTGGGGACGCTGCCCGCAGCTTCATGCAACCAGCTGCCCTGATCTGGTTAAATAAAAGACCATCTCGGTCAGTATTTTGGAAAAATGGCTGAGCATGCCACTGATGTCAGAAGGCTGATTCAGGACGCAAGAGTGCCTAGGATGGCTGTTGCACAATCATTCAGGACTCTCAGGGTCCGACCTTACTCCCCCTTTTTCCGAGGCACGCAGGGCTACCCGCCTGTTGCGTGCCTCACTGCCCCTCGGTCTTGCCCTGATGTCGCTCTCCCTCCTCCCCCCACAGGCTACCCATTCAACGACGTCTGCCAATGGTTCATCGACAGGGCTGACCTCATCTTCGTGGTGTTTGACCCCACCAAGCTGGATGTGGGGCTGGAGCTGGAGATGCTTTTCCGACAGCTGAAAGGACGGGAGTCTCAGATCCGGATAATCCTGAACAAGGCGGACAGCCTCGCCACTCAGGAGCTGATGCGTGTGTACGGAGCCCTGTTCTGGAGCCTGGCTCCTCTGATCAACGTCACCGAGCCCCCGAGGGTCTACGTCAGCTCCTTCTGGCCCCTGGAGTACGAACCGGACACCCACCGAGACCTCTTCCTGAAAGAAGAGATCTCCCTGCTGGAAGACTTGAACCAGGTGATCGAGAACAGGCTGGAGAACAAGATCGCCTTCATCCGCCAGCACGCCATCCGGGTCCGCATCCACGCGCTCTTGGTGGACCGCTACCTGCAGACCTACAAGGACAAAATGACCTTCTTCAGCGACGGGGAGCTTGTGTTCAAGGACATTGTGGAAGACCCGGACAAGTTCTACATCTTCAAGTCCATCCTGGCGAAGACCAACGTCAGCAAGTTCGACCTCCCCAACCGCGAGGCGTACAAGGACTTCTTTGGGATCAACCCCATTAACTCCTTCAAGCTGCTTGCTCAGCAGTGCTCCTACATGGGGGGCTGCTTCCTGGAGAAGATCGAGAGGGCCATCACACGCGAGCTGCCGGACCTGCTGGGGAGCATCGGCCTGGGCAAGAAGCCCAGCGTCCTCTCGTGCGACACCACCGGCTGTGGAGAAACCCCAAAGAATCGTTACAAGAAGCACTAACAGACCGGCCGCCCTCTGCAGCCACTCTTGTGTTCCCGTTGGTGAATGAGCGTATGTCTTATCTGTCCAGGAAGCCGAGGTCTGCTATCCCCGAGTGCCATACTGGCCAGAGCTAATGCACAATGGCATCCACGGCAGGGAAGCTGGGTGGGGTCCGGGAAGAGGGCGGATCACTGAATGCCTGAAGCTGCCGTCTTTGTTGCTGTAACGGGCAGGCCGTATATTGGACTGAAGGCCAGGAGAGGGACGCCTCTGCAGGCGCAGCCCCTGGCCTTCATGTTTGCTAAGCTCACACGGAGGAGGGAGGAAGCGTGAGAGTCCGGAGAAATGGTGAACGAGGCTCGACTCTTGGCACTGGGCGAGGCAGAGTCCTCGCAGCATCCTGGCTGCTGGCACAGGACCGAGGACCACGCCACTTGATGCGGGCGTTCAGCTGTTCGCTGCGGGACTTGCGGGTCAGCGGCACCTGCTCCACGCCAGCGTGTCCTCGGTTCAGCTGCATCTGAGCATTCCACTGTGGATCTGTTTTTCCTGCTCCAGACTGAAAACATGGCAGGCTGCCCTTCATCCAGGCTCTGCCCTGTCAGTAAACGCGAGGTATTTCCCCAGTCCTGGGCTCAGAAAGAGCCGTCTTCTAGCACAGGCAGAAGTCCAGGCGGCTCCGAAATGCGCCACTATGCCTTCTCGGGGTCCCTTTGGAGAGCCCTACTCGGGGGGAAGGCTGCTCTGTGTGTGCGTGTGTGCGTGCGCGCACACACACGTGCACATGAAACGGGAATCTGCTGGCAGGAGAGTGAAATGGTCAGTCGTGGCGTTTCCTTTGTTCGGGCCTGACGGCGTAAGGGCGCGGTGTTTGCTGGCCGCTGAGCCTCGGCATTGTCGCAGGCTCACTCGGGCTTCTCATTAGGGCTTGTCTCTGTCCACATGTTATCTGTCTTCACAGTTCATTTGTCTCCACCAGAAATTTGTGGTGAGCTGTAGTTTGACATGTCTTCAACCAGAGCTGATGCCCTGTTCTGGTGTGTGACAAAGGAGAGGCAGAGCCTTTTTGCAAGGCTGAGCAAGGGCAGAGGCGGACGGGGGCTTGGCAGGGGCCCACGGGGATGTCCAAGGCTATGCCGGCACGGGGCCCGTTCTGCCCGGGAAGGTGGCTTGTGAGCCACCGGGCAAGCCAGCCCCTCTGAAGGGATGCCACGTGAGAACATGCCTGTGGGCCTTATGAAGCAGAGGCGAGGGAGTTTAAGCAAGGTATAATTAAGCACTCTGGAGAGAAACAGAGGAGAAAATGCAAACAGAAAAGTGCTAAGCTGCTTCGGTTTGTTAGCGTTTTTGCAGAAGAGATTCGGATACATAGGTAAACTGAAAGTTTTGCAAAGAGTGTGAGGAGAATCATAAAAGGCACTTCACCTAAGGAAAGGCACTTGATAGGAAACCAGGCAAAACAGGTTGCTTGGCAAGGCTGAGTTTTAAAGAACCAGTCTTGGCAGAACGACCCGGGAAGCCTCTCCCTCCTTGCTGGGCACGGGGAAACTCACAGCTCATCATAAGTGTGCCGGCTTTGTGTTAGGAAAGGGGTTGTGTGGTGGGGCGGGGAGAGGTTTTCTCAGTGGCATGCAAAGGAACGCAAAGGAATGAACGGCTAAGCCAGCAAGGAGGTTTCCTGGAAACGCGTCTCCCGAGCAGGGCGGAGATGGTTCAGTGCAGAGCAAAGCCCAGCCCCGGACCTGTCCCAGAGTTGCCGCCGCCGCCGCCACCTCCATTTTCCTCTTGTATCTGAGCTTCCTTCACCATTTCTCCTCTCGCCAGCTGCTTCCTCTCACAAGCTGAATGCGTTCTCCCAATCAGACAGTCTGTTCCTGTCAATAGTCCTACATCTTGTCTGCGCAGCTGATGGAACAGAGGAATCGCGCTGTTAGAACCACTTCCCAGAGCAAACTCCGCACTGTCCTCCGAGGAGGCAGAGCTGCCCAGCAGACGGATCCCAGTTGCTTCTTTGCTTCTCTCTTGTCCTCATCTTTTACATTTCCTCATCCTCTGACCTTGGGCTTCCTTATTTTTATTCATCCTTCTTTCCTCTTAGGCGTCTTGCAAGGAACGTCCAGTGTGACTGGAGAGTTTTCTGCAAGGTACGGTCTTGGCGACATGCTCAGCTTGGAGCGCGAGTCTCAAGCGCGGCCGCCTGGGCAAACCCCCTGTTGCAGCGCCTTGCCCCTGCTGGGGCCCGGGTGCTGAGGGGTGGGAAGAGTGAGGGCCACCCGTGGCCCAAGGCAACAGCAGCTGCAGGTTGGCCTCGCTCAAGGGCAGGCGGGCGAAGCGCGTGATGTGCTGCTCGCTGAACCGAGCGGTAGGGAGACACATGATGCGGAGCGGCCACCTGACTGGCCAGAAGTCCAGGGGTGTTGCCCAGACACCGGCTGGAGCCCCCCAGCCCCGAGGACTGCGCTGCCGCAGGCCCCGCTGAGCCCTTCTTTCCCCGAGCATCCAAGCGCTTCCTCTCCACACTGTCAGCATGTCTTGCTGGTCCCTGGCAACCGCACGGCCTTTTGGCAAGGGTGGCGAATCCGGCACCAAAAGCGCAGGTGATTTATACTGGATCTTGCGCCATCCCTGCTGGGAGGACGTTTGTCGAGTCCGGGCCGCGATGAACCGTCCGAATTGGCACCTGGCCGAACAGGAGGTTCCCCTCCCAGCCAGGCCCTTCTCTGCCTCGGGTCTGGGCCTCCGTGTGGTCCACCGATCTTGGAGGGAGGGAACCTGTGTGCCTCTCCTTTTGGTCACGTTGCCAAGCCCTCCACCCACTGTTGTGTGCTTCTTTTGAACAGGATTCTGGACAGATACATTTAAAGGAACTACATAGCTGTAATGTATTTCCACTTAGCAGTTCACGGTAATAATCTGCATTTGGAGAGACCATGTACATCAGCCATTCTAATAAATTCTGATTTTTTCCAATCACATTCCCTGGTGCCTTGCATTGTTTGATAGAAAACTTGGAACTGGTAGGTAAAAGGATTTGGGGTCAGCAGCTGGCGATGTACACCCACGGGTGAAGCCCCCCCCCCGCTTTCACTTAGGAGACATGCTGTTTGCTAACGGTGCCGCTAATAAAGGCTTCAGCCTTATTTCTTGAAATGAGGCACAACATACATACACATTCTGTTTTAGCCATAGAGGTAGGTCGACAATATACAATAGGCAGCAAATCGCAGCCTAGAAGGCCTCCGAGTGGCATTTGGAGGAGCCCCCTTTCCTTCTGCACTGAGGCTGTTGCACGTCCAAGGGTCAGCAGCGGAGAACTTGCGAAAATGCCTTTGCCGCTCTCGTTTTACTCCCCAACAGAAGCGCCCCTTGGGGGAACGCCGGACTGAGTTAAAGAAGTGTGGGTCTGTCCTCAGGTGAGCTGAGGGGGGCAAGGTCTGCGGTCTGCCTGCCCCCACCGGGGTGAAGCAAAACTCCGCCTCCGGGCACTCTTGCTCCCTTGGGAACAACCACTGAGGATCTTCTGTGACGGCTTCACGGCAGCCTATCCGTGTCCTCCGGGAAGCCCAGGCGGACTCTAGGCTGCGCTCAGCACACGCTGCACACGAGCACAGAAGCAACATCACGGTGCGCGTCTTGTGAGCCGCCCCACTTGCAACCCCACAGCGCACAGGCTGGGTTTGGCTGAAAACAGGATAAGCTAGTAAGGTTTGCTGAGGGGAGTACAGAATGAGGGAAAGGTTGGCCAGATGCTGCTGGTGCACCCAGTCTGTGGGTCAAAGAGGCGAATCCGTTTCAGCGCACAGGCAGCAAGCGGTTCTCAATGTCGTCTGTGGCAAAGCACAAAGACGAAGGGGAAATGCCATCTGGGCAGCACTGCTGCTGCCAGCCCCGTTCTGGAAGGAGCCAGGCCTACGGCAGGCTCTCCCGGTACCTGGCCGCCTCCCCGGCCCGTGGCTTGGGTGGCGTGCAGTGGTGAGCCGCCTCTCCTGGTGTCCGACCATCATTCGGCCTCAAGGCGATTTTCCTGCAAGGTGTTATTTTGCCCCCGCTCCACCCACCCACAGTGACTGGCAGCGAGTTCTCACACCTCGTCAGTCGATCCTGGCCTGTGACGATGGGCCTTCTCTGTCCAAATAGCTTTGCTGTGCGTTTTTAAACAGTGGCCTTGCCCTTTGGCTATTTCAAATCTATCTGATCTGTACCGCAATTCAGCATCGAGCATTTCAAATCACTTATTGGACCCAGCCAGCAACTATTCATAATGGCTCTTGTCTTGCTTCCTCCTGTTGCCAGTCATTAACCGTTGTCATACGTGCAGTGATTAAGACAATACAAGGTATGGATTGAGCAGAAGTTGTATTCCGCATTTCACTGGATTATAATTGCGGTTTGAGTGTTGCTGAGATTAAGGAAGGGGCTTCCCCTCTGCAGTGGGGAGGGCGGAGGAAGTCATTGGGGGCAAGTGCTCAAGCTGCAGCGGGAAGTGGCTAGACCACAGCACCACTGCGCACGTCCTCCCCTTCCGTGCCGCTGTGCTCGTGTGCCCGGCTTCAGTGCCAATCCTCTCCCGCGACCGACAGCTGGGTGTCCCAAAAGGCCCACCAGACCCTGCTGACCTGCACCGGGTGATTTGCTGCCGCATCTCTTCCTGACAAGCTCCCTCTTCATGTGCCCTTGCAGGATCAGACCAGCACCGGCTTCTAACACAGTTGACCCATCACTGATCCAGGGACAGAGCAGGTCCCAACAATCTTGATGTTTCACAACTGGCATGACAGAAGATCCAACGAGCAGGGGCGATGTGCTTGTGTGAGTGGCGCTGTTTTTTAAGCATATGGCTTAATGATTTCTACCGAGCTTTTTAAAAAGCCCGAGGGGGTTGGCAGCACTCCACGGGGCATATTCTGACACTCTCCCAACTGCCGCAAGATATTCTCTAGTGCTCTGATGATTAATTTAGAGCTCTCGACGTGAGGCATTTAACTCAGCATGTTATGGAGTGTGGGAGAAAGACGCTCATTTGGACATGGCTTTTCTCCAAGGTTTTGCTTCCTTTCCTTTCTGTATGTTGTATTATACAGCCACGACGTGGGACTTGTAGTGTAGGGAAATGGCTGAATTACACCAGCCTCTATTCCAGTTTGCTCGGCCTTTCAAATTCAACACCTCAGTATCCCCCCTCTAAGAGATGTGAAAATATAAGATATGGGAGAAGGTCTTGGAGGATGGCAGTTGTGTAGAGGAGAGAAGATCTTGAACACAACAGGAGCGGCTTGTGCAGAGAAGCCCCAAGTGTTCAAGAGAGATGTTCCAGGACAGGGTGCACTTGGCACATCTAAGGTGCAGCTGGGCAACAGAACTTGCAGCCTGCTTTCCCGACCAGGTCGGGTTTCCACCTGAGCCTAAAGTGCTTCTTGCCGTGCCGGGCTTTCCGCAACCCTATTAGGACAGAGTTTTGGCTCATTTCGCCCTGACAACCCAGATCCGGAAAGACCATGCCTCCAGATGAAAACAGAGCTGATGGCTGATGCGACACGGCAAAGGCGGGCCATGGGGGGACGGAGCTGGAGGATCGCTGCAGTCCAGCTCCCCGGCCAAGCGAGTGAGCAGAAGCTCTGGGCCGGAGCAGCCTGACCCCGTGCAGAGCCGGGGAGGCAAAGGGCTGCAGCTTTCGGCGCCACATGGGACTGGGCTGCGACGGCGACAGCTGGGACTGGAGGAGGAGGAGGAGAAACTAGAACACGGCGTCACAGCGCAGAGAGCTCTGTGTGGGAGCCAGAGATGGGGAGCAGAGGCAGGGAGAGCCTCCGAGCGCAGGGCAACCAGGGCAGAGGGTGGGAGCATGCAGGAGCACCACTGCTCCCCGGCTCAGCCGTGCTTGACTGTGCTGCAAAGCGACCAGCTTGTCTCTTCCCCGCTGAATAATCGGGAATCTCCACTGCAGCAATTACTGAACTGTAATGAACAAGAAAGAGGTCCAGGGACAGATACTAATAGCCCTAAAGTGTTTTCTGCAACATGGAGTGGGGATCTGGATTAAAGGCACATCTCTACAGCCACGTGGTGCGCTCTCTGTTGTGAAGTACCCCCGCAAAGTAAAAGAAAGACCCCCCCCCCCACAGTCGGAATGGCCACAAGAAGCATCCTCAGCGCGGATGGTCTGGCCGTATCTTTGGGGCTCCGGCGTGGATTCGGGGCGTGAGAGGGGTCTGCTGGGTCGGGCGGGAGCCGTCGCCAGCCACATCCTCGTTCCCGGGAGCTGGCATGACGCGGCCTTCTCGCCGGTAGTGGCGGCCCCTTCCAGGCAGCGCTCCCGAGACCGGGGACCCCACCGGCCCTGGGGCAAGGCTCTGCGTCTCGCGCCGGGGAAGCGGCACGTCCTGGCCCGCCCGGGGCAACAGGTCATCTCCGGGGGTGCAGAGCAGACCGCCCGGTGCCTGCGGGGAAAACCTCCGCTGAGGCGAGCGGGAAGCGGCCGCCCGGGAAGGGTGCCCCGCAAACCTGCCGAGGCAGTGGCCAACGGAGGCACTGCGCATGCGCGCGGGGTGCCGTTCTTTTTCTTCCCGGGACCGCGGGGAGACACCCCAGGCCTCGTGCGCCACGCCGCGGCGCCTGCGCAGTAGAGCGCCCTCGCCGGCCGGCCGTCCCGTGCCCCCCCCCCAGTGACGGCCGCTCCGCTTCCCAGCGCGCGCAGGCGCACACATGCCCACCGGGCTCCGGCGGTCCTGCCTGGGCGTCCCTCTCGGGTCCGCAAGTGCGCCTGCGCAGGCCGCCTCGCGCCCGGTGACAGCAGGCCCGCGGCCGCCCGCCCGCCTCCTGCTGCTGCTGCTGCTGCTGCCGCTGCGCGACGGCCCGGCGCGGCCTGGGCGGGCTGGGGGCGCTCGAGGGACGCGGGCAGCGGCGGCGATGAGGCCGCGCGGCCCGACGTGAGGCGCGGCGGCGGCCGAGCGAGCGGCTCTGGCGCGGCGCCATGCGGCGAGGCCCGGGGCGGCCTGGC